TCAAAACTATTTTATCGACATGCAAAGTTTTGTACTTCCCACTATGTCTCTGTAATTATATTTTCAATTCTTATTATAATATCACTGTGTTATCCCGCAATCGACACCTACTACCTACGCTCATCTAAAAATGAAAATCAAGCCTTCTTCTGGGAAGACTATTCGTCTAGTTCAGCCGTCACGAGAGATACTTTTATGGAAAAATGTAGAACCCAGCCTTCTTTTCATGTAGAACAGGTCATAATTCAAACAATTAGATCGATGAATCTCAAGAAAGGAAGTAATGACGTTTTGAGCAGGGATCTATTATTGTGGACTTTAGGTCTTCAAGAGAGAATTGCAAATGCCGTCATAATGTATACCAATGAGCTTTCTCAACTTCCTCTTCAAACCGCTAAAAAGTACACTCTTTCAAATCTTTGTTTAAAGCCTTTCAATAATGAAGAATGCTTGATTCTTTCACCACTGGAGTACTGGTCATATAGCGCCGAAAAATTATCAAAAGATCAATCTATCTCTAGATCACTATCATTGTCCAACAAAACTAATTCTTTTGGTATACCGATGCCTCTCAGATCTGTTTTCGGAAATCTTTCATATGATAAAAGGAAGGGCGATGTAGTTGGCGCAGATTCAATAGTTCTAACCTACTTTTTGAAAGATATGGGGGATTGTACTGAAGGTCAAACGGCTGTTATATGGGACATGCTCTGGAATCAAGTAATCAATTGTACGGGAGCCGATTGTTATATTGGAGGCAAAGGAATAAACATGACCAATCGCGGAAATTTAAAACATTTTCATTTAGAGGTATCAATTCGATCATTGGATTTAATAATATGATTTTATAAAAATTCTCATATTGTGATATACTTCAACCATTTTAAAAGTTTGATAGGAACAATACCACGAAATTTCCCGTTGAATTCATTCTCCTTGTAATAGAGTACCTAGTAGCATTCCTTTACATTTCACTTTCCCTTGGTCGCCTTAATTCCGTCAAATCAAAATTTGGTCTCGCCTTTTCCATCGTGATTCAACTGTTCGTTTCTCTGGTCACATCAATTAGCATTTGCTCTTTATTCGGGTTTACTTTAACTCTCGTGTCTTGGTAAGTTGATTTATTTGAGAGATATTGTTACTTATGATTTCGTGCACCTGTATTAATGATTAATTTTTTTTTAAAGGGAACTGTTTCCCTTCGTCCTCATCATTGTCGGTGTTGAAAATATGTTTGTACTGACCAGTGCGGTTGCATCAATTCCAATGCAACTGGAAGTTAAGGAACGTGTTAGCAGAGGTAAACATCCTTATTTATGATTATAATTATTTTATTTTAGCTATCGATTAACTAATAATTCTTCCTTTTTAAAGGTCTCGAGAAAGTCTCTTATTCCATTACAAAGACTCTTGTCACCGGCCTTCTTTTATTGTTCATGTGCTCCACCACTGGTATCGATTCAGTTCAGGAGTTCTGCATTTTCACCTCAGTGGCAATGATTATAGACTACGTCCTGCAAATGTCTTTTTTTGTCACCATTTTGTCAATTGACCTTCGAAGGTTGGAATACGAGGTAGTTATTGCAAT